CCTCCAGGTCCGCGGTCACTCTGGCACCTGCGCGAGCGGGCGGATGGTTAACAGCGCGTTCCCAAGCCCCCGCCCTGCTCATTGGCCGAGCCTCCTCGTATGGAAATGAGGCCGCTGGCACCGCCCCAGCTACATTGTTACGTGGAGGCCAGGAGGACGCACAGTGGCGGGAAGATCTGCCTAAGAAGTTGGGCCCTGGGACAAGTTCCGAGGTGGGGGATGCGGGGCCACACTGCACTTCAGGTTGCGCGCAGGCTGAGATGAGCCCGGCTGTGTGATGGCTGTGGGTGGGAAGACAGGCAGTACTTATCCGCGCTTCGGGGACTTAACCTGGTTTCACTCACAGGCAACAGTGCCCCCCCTCTGGCGCAATTGGGTAGGGGACGCTCCAAGAGGCTCCTATAAGGGGAGCAATCAGACCCAGGGACCCGCCTTGGGAGGAAGAGGCCCATGGGCTGCGGGGTGGTTCCTTCTGTCCCCAGGCGGTGCTCTGGGCGCCATCTGCCTGGAGTTCGGGTTACTGCGTCATTGTCTGGTCAATATCTCGCTCGCCTCCCTGGAGCGCTGAGCCCACTGTCACCTGCATTGAGAGCAGCCATCTCCTCGCTGGTGTGTCTCAGTGGATAGAGCGTCGGCCGGCGGACTGAAAGGTCCCGGCTCGATTAGGGTGAAGGGCATGTAACTGGTTGCAGGTTCCCCGGCCCTAGTCCGGGTGTGTGCAGGAGGCAACCAATCAATGTGATTCTCTGACGCCCATGTTTCTCTGTTTCCTCCCCTCCCTTCCACTCTCTCTAAAAACCAATGGGAAAAGATCCACGGTTGAGGATTAACAAAAAGAAAAAAAGAAAAGCAACTATTTCCAAGGAGCCATCAAGAGCCCACTCAGTCCCCTGGATAAGTCACCAGACTGGAGACCCAGCTCCCTCAGTGTGTCGCTGACAGTGTCATTTCGCACAGGGACCAGAAGTCTCTGAGTCCTTGGCCCAGGCCAGCCGCGGAGGGGCCTGGAGCAACCTGGTTGAGCCATGTCCAAGCCGAGCCCAGCAGGTCAGCATCTTCGAGGCATCTGATTTCAAAAGGCCCTGAGGGTTCCCAAGACCTACCACCCACTCCACAAAGAAACACCTCCCCCTCCAGCCTCCACCAAAACAAAGAACTCCTCTTTCTGGGCCCTCAGCATATCCATAGGGATGGCCAAGGGCCCCCATTCCCTGGCGCCACCCCTGGCATCCTGTTTTCACCAGGACAGAAGTCACCCAGCCTCTCCTTTGCCTTAGCTCCCAGCTCCTTTATCCCTAACTTCATCCAAGTGAGGATTGGGCTGGGAACAACCCCTACCTGTGCCTCAGTGTCCCCACGTTCCCTTAGAGGGGGGTTGGACAGGAGCATTCTTCCTCTGAAATGGGAGAAAATGGGTCAGTTTAGCTGAGGGGATGAAGGCAGCTATTTCGAGGGTGAATCAATATGGCTTGGCTGAGTGCTGTGGGCCTGACTGGGTGAGTAGCCACCCTCTCCCCTCAATGGCAGCTGGGTCAGGACTGGGGGCACAGCCCCCCTTGTCCTGGGCAGGGCTGCTTGAAACCAGCCCATCTGTCTTTTTTCTCCATGTCCGAGAGTTGTTTAAATAGCACAGGTTTGAAGAAACATCCCCCTAAACCAGCGGTTCTCAACCTGTGGGTCTCGACCCATTGGGGGTCAAACGACCCTTTCACAGGGGTCACCTAAGACCATCAGAAAACACATATATAATCACATGTTGTTTTTGTGATTAATCACTATGCTTTAATTATGTTCAATTTGTAACTATGAAATTGGAGAACACCACAACATGAGGAACTGTATTAAAGGGTTGCGGCATTAGGAAGGTTGAGAACCACTACCCTAAACCAATCTGACTCTCTAC